GGCAGATACTGGTGTAAATATTTAGCACCACAGTTTTCTCTCTGTTTCTCACTGTTTCCCTTCTTTTTTCCTCTTCCTTGTTCCCATGTTTGCTCTCACACTTTGCAGCAGAACTGAGGAAGCTGGAGGGTCTGAAAACCATTGCAGTGACAACCAACGGCATGAACTTGGCCAGGCTTCTGCCAAAGCTCAAAGAGACTGGCCTTGACCTGATTAACATAAGCCTGGATTCACTCGTCCCTGCCAAATTCGAGTTCATTGTCAGGCGGAAAGGTAGGGAAAAGTATTTGACCCATAATGTCAGCTGCAAGACTGAAGGGAATGGTATGGTATGAAAAAGGGAGAGATTAGTACAGGGACACGAGTGTTAGAGAAAAGCAGTTTTTCCTGCTACATATAATCTTAGAATAAAGCATTTCAGTATGCTTAACTGCAGCGTGTCTTATCCCTAGAACATAGTGTAACAGTGTCAGCTTGGTTCCACTGTTGCAGCTCTCTGTCTGTCTAAAACCACAAGTTGTTGACAGCCTAAATCAATACTGTGTATATGAGCCTTTTGTTGAGGGCCAGTGCCTCTTTGTTACTGAGGGAAGCTGCAAGCTGTAAATACAGGTGGAGCGGAGGTGACAGCAGGGCAGAGCTCTGGGTGGTTGGCGTATGGAAGGTAGACACAGATGGACAGACTGAAGTCAGGAAATGAAGGAGAGGAAGCAATGGCAGTACTGAATATTGAGTATTACTGAGTATTAATTTTTCAGTAAAAGGTTTAGCTGACACTAGATCTGTAGGTATAGCCTGAAAGAAATCTTGTCTCTCAGTAAGCTTATTTCAGATTTTATGTGCAACACATTTGACATTTAATTGCAATTATGAGCATTGTAGATCATTAAACAGAAGCCTCAGCTCCTTACCAGCCAGTGTAAGCCTACCTGGATTTGTGGGTTTTGTTCAGATGAAAACAAATGATGAGTCGGACCTTGGCAGTTTGCTGGGAAAGAGCTCTGGCTGCTGCTGAGGGATTACTTGGAGATGTTTACATACCAGTGGTTTGTGGTAAATCGTGAGATTAGTCAGATCTTTAAAGACAGTGAACAGAGAAAGCACAACTTCTGTTTTAAAGGCCTGTAAAGCTGAGGCAGTGTGTGATCTCAGATTGTCTCAATACATTTCTAAAATCTAAAAACTTCCCACAGATCACACACCATCTCCACCTAAGATTTGTATTGATAACCCAAAATGCAAAGATATCAAAGGTATGATTAATGCGTTATTGCAAAACATTGTTTAAACATTTCATCAACAATTTCTATCTCTGTTTTTTCCAGGGTTCCACAAGGTCATGGAGGGCATTGATAAGGCCATTGAAATGGGCTACAACCCTGTCAAGGTACAGTATTTGTTCATCTTTTCAAACTTGCTTTTGCATAGAAATGTTTACTGTGTTTTAGTTAATTTTATTCATTATTAAATCTCCTTTTTATATATCCCTTTTTCTTCATATGAAATTAGGACTTTTTACTGACCTTTTGTACAATCTAAACAGATGAATATTTACTATATGACTATTTTGACTGGAAAACAAAGTGATGTAACGATACACTCAACTCAAGATTCCTTTATTTCTCAGACAAAAAGTGAAGATGATGTCTTTGTGCCTTGATACAGCTCCTGATGTGAGCAAGCAAAGTCAAAGTAGATAGTGCCATCAGCTATTTAAAGAGTGTCATGATTTATTTTTTATCTCACCAGTTTGAATCTTCACATGTGTGTATTGCAATATACCGCTGTATACCTTTACATTCCTATTACTGAAGCAATTTTCAGCCAAGTTTGCTTCATGTTGTATTTATGACCATTTTTAGACTTTGTGAATAATCTGACACCTTTATGGATAAGTGTATTCATTATTGGAGTGAGGTACAACATTGGCCATTGCTGTGTCAGCATAGTGTAACAGAACTGCTGAATATATTATTTCATCCATATCCTATGACTCTTTGCCCAAAAAAGCTACAGAATCACCAAGCTGCTTCCTGATGTAATGTATGTGACTCAGTATTGCATACCAGAGTTCCCCATTGCGCTGTGCATGGGGAGAATGTTTAAAAAAAACTAACATCTGAAGTGGCTGGCGTCCTTAGACCTAATCATTCTGTGAGGTGTTTTCTACTGCTGTGGGAGTTTTGGAATGCAAAGATAGCTTAAAAAGTTCTTAGTGTTAAGGGCTGACAGCGTGTTTGCTAAGAAGTTAAGATGGTTAGCTTGATACCACTGACTGCAGAAATCTCTACTTCCTCCTTTTCCAGAGTGGTTCTTGGCACATTTGACAAGGAGAAGCTAGCTGTAGATGAGATAGAGTGAGTCGTCAGTTCAGTTTGAGTGAAGAGCCTACGTTTCAGATTGTATGTGCAGCAACTGTCCCCAGAATGTAAACAAGAAAGAATGGTGGAGGAACATTATTCCCGAGTGACCACCAGTCATCGACCAATAATAGATCAATAATCTGTCAGGAGTATTTCAAGTCTTGTAAAAACTACAGGCTGTGTTATTAAATATTGACGCATGCACCTCCAGTAATTCATTCTATCTGTGCAGATGCCTGTGTGGGTACTTCTAGCTACTGTGTGGTTTGGGCCTTGAACTTGGCTTCCTTACAGTTGAGACGCAACAGGCTGCAGAGGAGATGAATGTACAGTTTAGTCATCAGTGCCTGTTGGTGTGTGCTGCCCTCCGTAGGTTAACTGTGTGGTCATGCGAGGCCTCAACGAGGACGAGCTGCTGGATTTTGTGGCACTGACAGAGAAGAAGCCTCTGGAGGTGCGCTTCATCGAATACATGCCCTTCGATGGTGAGTGCTCACTTCCCACAACGTCTTATCACACAGGTCTGAACAGCAGTTCTTAAATCATCCAATTGAATATTTACTGTATTCATGTACCGTATTTTCCGGACTCCGACTATAAGTCGACTGTTTTTTCATTTAGTTTGCTCGCGTGCCGCCATTATAGTCGAGGTGCGACTGTATATATGAATTAACATGTTTTTGAATAATAATTCCGACATGAAACGAGGAGTAGCCTAAACATTACCGTCCAGCGCCACGCATAAGGAGGACGATGGCGCTTTCGTCTTCCTCCGGAGTTGGCGGAGACGTTCGAAGCAACATGGGAGGATGACGAATTTAATGGATGTGTTGTGAACTGGGCCCTGTAAAAATAAATTTCTAAATTAAGGTAGCCTCCCGATATTTGCCTGGCTTGCCGCGCGTGCCTAACATCGCCTAAACATGCTTTGATTGCATTGCATTCCTCCACATTTTTAGGCTACATTTTCATGTACCACAATCAGCATTTTTGTTTCAGTGAATCTTTTGTAAATGGACTGCCCTTCATATCGCCCAGCTCACCTCATTTCACTCCTTTTGTCTTCATCAACATTCGCGGGGGGGGGCGGGGCGGGGGGGGGGGGCGCGGGGGCGCGGGGCGGGGGCGGGGGGCGGGGGCTAGAATTCTCAGTCTTTTTGGCCTCTATGTGTCCAGTACCTACATAGTCTCTGTCCCTCTTTTTTTTCTTCTTTGGTCACTGGATTTTGGAATACATATCTAAATAAATGCCGACTTATTAAGTCCGGGGCTACTCATATTATATGGTTTTTTCCTCTTCATGAGGCATTTTTTGACTGATGCGACTTATACTCCGGAGCGACTTATAGTCCGGAAAATACGGTAAATCTTTCAAGAGTAATGTAACACCAATGAAATGGTATTACCAAAATAACTGCAGTGTTAAATTAGGGTATAGTATGTTTTTAGCCACTCAGCCCAGCTTGTTTTTATGTAACTTGTAAGAAGAAAGTTAGCTCTGTTCAGCGTTGCTTGCAGAAACATTACTGATGTACACACACACAAGTCACTGGTTGTTGAATCGTCAGTAAGCTGCTGTAGCTTGTGATATGCTATAGCCTACTCTGAGCCGCACTGCTTCTTCTCCTCTCTGCAGGAAACAAGTGGAACTTTAAGAAGATGGTGAGTTACCAGGAGATGTTGGACCGCATTAGGCAGCAGTGGCCCAACCTGGAAAAGCTTCAGACTGGACAGACAGACACTGCCAAGGTCAGTGGGTCCGACTGTACCGTATTCATTCATTCTGTCTGTCAGTAGCTGGAACACTGGCAAACATGATTTATTAGCTTAGTGTGCATTATTTCAATAATCCTCCTGATCACCTGAAACTCGGTCAGACTCAGAGCTTTCAGAGCACACTGTGGTATCTTGTCAGCAGACACATGTTTGTAGTGCTGCTGGTTAATTCATTACAAAACTGAAATCAACATTCACAATCTTCCGACAAATCTTATTCAAGACCAGATCTCAAGATATCAAGTGTATGATGTAAGAGCGAGATCAGTCAGATCAGCCAGATCAAGCACTTTGCTTTGAATGCTTTAAACCATTCGTAAAGAAATTGTTCACATGATCATTGTTTGACACTTTTTTTTAACAGACATTTCAAGTTCCAGGCTTTAAGGGTCAAGTGGGCTTCATCACCTCCATGTCTGAACATTTCTGTGGCTCCTGCAACCGCTTACGCATCACTGCAGACGGCAACCTCAAGGTAAAGCTTGTTCTTTGTTAAGCTGTTAATGAGGTCTGTGACTGTGGTAATGTAGCTCACTTATAGATTTACATACTACCAGTACCTATGAATAATCCCATCCATCAATCTGTTTTCAATCTTTGACCCCTTCTCTCTGTCAGGTGTGTTTGTTTGGGAACTCTGAGGTGTCCCTAAGAGATGTCTTGCGCTCTGGGGCACCAGATGAGGAGCTACTGCAAATCATTGGAGCTGCTGTGGGCAGGAAGAAGAAACAACACGCAGGTAGATTGTGCACTTTGTTTATATGCAACACATCAATTGTGGAGTATACTCAGAGATTATTTAGGCGTTAATATCTTCTTGTTTTTGTCTTCAGGCATGTTCAGTATCTCCCAGATGAAGAACAGGCCCATGATCCTCATTGGTGGGTGACATGGCTGTACGTACAAATCTCTGACACTCAGTTTGTTCTGTCACAATTAATTAATGATTTTGAGGGCATTTGTTTTCTACATTTACAGCCTGTTCAGCTCCAAGTTGCATTTACATTTGAACTGCTAACAATTACTAACTTTTATCTAGAGGGTGAATAATGTATCTTCATCTAAATATGAATGTTGTTTTATTGTCTTTATCCAACAGGCACTGCAACCCAAATGCTGTTGTCTCTGCCAAAGCCACAAGACAGCCAGAGAGCTTTCCCCATTGTCTGCCAACTTACCAACGACACATTCCTCTCTCCAACAGCAGCTCCTCGCACGGGCCGTTCAGGCAGCGGGAGAGTCCTGAACAGTGACGGTTCTTTGTGCCTTCCAGACTGCGCTGCTTCAACACAGGCAGCCAATGTTTGCCGCTCTGGAACCTTAATGAGAGGGGGAACCCAAGTCAGGTCACGTATCAACAAAGAAAACCTTAATGCGACGGACAACCTCCACCACGTAACACCCCGTCACTCCTCTGAGTTTGATAATGGTCTCACTTTCACCAGTTGTCACACTAAGACCGCAAGTTTTACTACACGCACAAATGTCACGAGCTACACTAATGAAGACTGTCTCAGGTACGCACAAGCCAGGGGTCCTAATGCTTTGAAAAGCCACTTACTCAGGACCCCGGGAACACCTATTCTTTGCACACTACTAATCAATGCCAAAACAAATCCTAAACACCACAATGTTAGACTGTGCCATCAATCAAGTTCCAGCAAAGACCACACCGTCAAACTCAGACAGTTTGTGAGCGATCAGACCACATCAGACATCAACAGTAACCTGAATGAAACCACCGAAGCCCAGCTGACGCATACAGACGCCCAGGGCCGAGCCACAATGGTTGACGTTGGGGGGAAAGTTCCCACACGTCGCACGGCCACAGCCCGCGCCACCGTCATCCTGGGCCACACTGCCTTCCGGCTGCTTCGGGACAACCAGCTGGCTAAGGGCGACGCCTTGGCTGTGGCGCAGTTGGCCGGCATCATGGCTACCAAACAGACCTCAGCCCTCATCCCGCTCTGTCACACGCTCCCCTTAGACCACGCCTCTGTCACCTTTGACCTGGATGAGGTGCAGAACGCCGCCATCATCACGGCAACGTGTCACACTACGGGCCGGACAGGAGTTGAGATGGAGGCTTTAACAGCTGTCTCTGTCGCTGCGCTGACTGTCTATGACATGTGCAAGGCGGTTAGCCATGACATCACCATCACAGATGTGAAGTTGGTCAGTAAGACGGGCGGGAAGAGGGACTTTCATCGCCATCCTTGACCTCACCTCCTCCCCCACCAATGAATCCAACACAGGAAAACTGAGAACTGACTTAACAGAAACTGACAGAAATGGTCATATTTGTCTGCAAACTGAAGTTTATGCCATCAGAATAATAATGTGAGTTATAATATATTTATTATAATTACTTGATCTGTCACTGATCTTCACAGTAACTCTCATTTAGCAGTGCTTTTCAAACCATTTCAGTATATGAAACAATTTATTTGCTGTAATACATAACAGATGAAGGACTGCAGTGTTTCTGTTTATCTCTAGAGGGCACTCATGTGTTACATTCACAAGCCTCCCTGGAAGTCTTTGAGCAAAGAACAAAGCCAGGACATCCTCAGTGCTATTGACATGTTGAATGTATTTGTCTTTTATTAGCTCACATGAACTTTGAAGATAATTCCATTCAGGATGAAGCCCAGGTGCCTGACCTGAAAGCTGAGCAGAGAAGTGTATGTTTCAGTGTCTTTCCCAGGTCCTTTACTTACCTGCACTGATTTGCTGTAATTAACAGCACTTTGAATGTTTTTACAGTTGAGTTTTGGGGTTCATCCAGTTGTATGAAGGGTAACTCGTTTTCAGTTCTCTGTACTTCACTGGAAACAGTGGATATGTGTACTTACACCACGGGACAGAGGATCACAGTAAGATGACTGTTTTTTAACTCTTGCTTTAAAATATCCACCATTCACATAATGGCTGATAACACAAATAATCCATTACACTACTTGTGCTTTTCTTGTTTATTTGTTTTCCCCTCTGTTTACCCCCAGAAGGAACTTGATTGATTGTTGATTCGATGTCAGTTCAGAGTTTATAGTTGTATGTGAACGTGTCATTCTGACTGTGTGGTGATGCAGCCTCTATGTATTGCATCATGTTGTTAGTATTACTGTAGGTACCATGCTCTCTGGTCTGCACTGTAGACCAGCAGTTCTCACCTGTTGTCTCTGGAGAACTGATTATTGATATTTTTGTGTCATAGGAAATAGTTGATTGTATTAACTGCCTCCAGCTCTCCTCATTCACTGCTCATTTTCTGAAAGAAGTACATGCAAACTGTGAGTTGCTGGAGCTTGTGTGGCATTTATTTTCCCTTATAAAAATGATAATATTCTACAATCTTTCTCCTGTGATGTCTTAATGTGCTGACAGTTGAGTATTTTGTGAGTCCACAAGGTGGTTTCAGTCAGTTACAGCCCACAGTGTGTCCCATGGTGTTTTATCTAAATAAACAGTAATACCATATACGTATAGGGCTTTATCCCAGAGGGCATTCATAATATGTATTTCAGTTGAATTGCTTTTTTTATTATATAATATCTGTTCCGTATTTCTGTTACCAATCCAAGACAAGTTGACTTATTTGTCCACATTCTGAATTACTGAGAGACTACATTTTACCAGTATAGGTAGTTTGAAGTCCAAAGTGCAGCAGTTGTTTTCTATGTTTTACCAGACTGAAAAGAAAAACAGGCCCGTCATCCTCACTGGCAGCTGACATATCTTTACACACACTTTTCTTATACTCAGACTTTGTTCTGTCACTGGTAATCATGGGCTGATGGTGGTGTTAGCAAGTCCAACGAACGTTGAGCAAAACAATATTAATATTACTAATTGCTCTGATTAGTCATTGCTATTGTCTTTCACTAAACTTGGATATTGTTACTTTTCCACAGGCAGATGGAGCTGGAGGAGCTGTTATAAACTTTTGGTTTTAGTGACAGTGCTTCCATGTACTACCAGAAAAAATGCAGTTATGAGTCAATAAAATGGGAAATGGAAAAGAGTTATTAGTAAATAATTGAATATTGGAGGACATGAATTATGTAAAAAAAAAAACTACAGTTGTGAAATACAAATATGGCTAATTCACTATTATTAACAATGTATTAAACAGTGTTCATTATTTCTTAATATATTTTATAGTTTTCAAAATGAAGACAATTGTGAGGGGCTTTTACTTCACTTTGTTCTGTCAAAGTAAAAAGTAACTTTGAAGGCTATGTAATGCCATTTTTTCAATATTAAACGAATAATAACACTTAAATATGTGAAATAAAACTGGAAATAAATAAATGAGGAATAAACATATACATTTAAACATAAATATATAAATAAGTCTGTAGGTTTTTGTTTAAAAAAGGACATCTTTCAAGTACATTTTGTCAAGTACATTCATATTTTTTTTTTACTTTTATTTATTTAATAAATACCTATTTAACTATTTTGATATATTTATTTTTACATTTATTTATATATATTTATTGTCTCATGTATTTATTTAATTTTGAATAAAATTGCACTCCAAAGCAGCAGCAGTTACCATGACAACAGTTGACAATCAGGAAAACAGTCGTAAAGTCCAGTTGAAAAACAGTGGAGAAGTGACACTTGGCTACAGAGAGAGAGAGAGAGAGAGAGAGTACAGCACTAGAAACAGTGACAGTGAAGGAGAGAGGACACTGAAAAGAGGTTGGTGCTTAAGCACAATGTACTAATGATAACTGTGCTACCTCCACTGCGTAGTGTTCCACATTGTCTGCACGTAGTGATGTTTGAGATTGTACTGCTGTTCTCCAGGAGCTGTGTAAACTCTTGGCTACGCCCGAGGAGGAGACTGAAGATCTAGCAGGAGAGGTGGTGGAGGAAGAGGAGGAGGAGAAACAGGAGAAGACGAAGAGTCCTCAACAAATTAAGAATAACACAGCTCTGCTTAAACAAACACGAGACAGCCCTGACCAGAAGATGTCTGGGAGCAAAAAAGGTGGGTAGAGACAGAGCAGCAGGTCAAAGCATGTTGAATGTGGTAAAGGTCCTTCTTATAGTATTAGACTTAGACTTCTTGATCCCTTTGGAATGACTCACCTCAAGCGAAATTGACTAATTCCAGCAGTTCGTACACTCTGTAAACTTATGATATAATAGATAGTTAAAAATCACATAATTAAAATTACAAAAAAATTTTTTTTTTTTAAAAGTTTCAAGGAGAACAATAAATACTCTTAGCTAAATATAGAAAGATCAAACAATAACAGGTAAACACTAATTACTTACCTAAATATGGAAAGTAGAGCAAAGACATCAAAAGTAAAAATAACAAAATAAAACATAAATGTTCACGAGAACATGTATAGAGGCTTACAAGAAATAATAAAAATTAAAAACAAAATGGATAAATATATAGGACTGTATATGGCATTGTGTTATTATACAGTGGATAAATGACATTAGCAGAAATTAGCAGTTAACTGGAGAGGCAGCCGTCTCCCACAGCTCCAGGAACTGATTATATATATGTATATTGCTTACTTAGTGTTAAGAACGACCTGTCCTCTGTCCCTAGATACTTTTAAGAATATCAGAGGCCTGGATGAGAATGAACAGCAGAGAATACGACTGGAGGTAAATCATATAACAGTTTCAATGTATTTTCATTCTAATTTAGCAGTCACATATGTGAATATTTGCCCACAAATGAAAAGATATTTAACCTCAAAAACATTATAGAGATTATTGTGGCACATTAGTAAAGCACTGAACAGAAATATCTCAAGGTGGCATTAGAAATCAATAATCTGGCATTGTCACCCGAAGTATAAACCAACTGTGGATAACAGATAGTGTGAGAATATTTATAGATCAGTATGCTTTACTGATGTTCCTGCTTTAATCACATTCAACTTTTTCTTATGCTGGTTTAAAAACGGTCTTTCTTAAAATTGTTCATCCACATTTGTAAGCAGCATTTTTCAGCTTTTTCTGTACATTTACACAAAGTGTTTAGTTTGCTCTTGCACCGCTGAGAGTCTGTAGCTAAATATAAAAACACAGCCAGGAGAGTGCAGTTTAGCATGAAGACTGGAAGCAGCGGGAAACAACGAATGGTGAATCATCTGCAATACTCCCTTTACCATCATCCTTCTGTCCACAGGCATCTCTGCTGATGAGCAGGTCAGAGATTAAGAAGTTGAACAAGGCTATTGCAGCAGAGCAGCTACATATTCAAAGCCTTGAACAAATCCTTGAGGAAAACAATGACAAATTTCAAAAGGTTTTCAAGAGGACTGAGAAGAAATGTTCGGATGCCAGAACGCTGTAAGCAGTAGTGGATTCCCTGTCGTTGTAACATAAGATTAATTCAGTATTTCTTTCCCAATGTTGTAATAATTACAATGATGTCGTGTGTTGTCAGGTTAGAAAATGAGATAAAGTCCAAAGCAGAGACGATTGCTGAGGTAGAGAAGTTAACTGACGAAATGGGGACTGTGAAAAGGTAGTGCTGTTCTCCATGTTTAATGTGCATAAAGTGATTGACCAGTAAGTGCTAGGAGAAGAACCATAAATAAAAGCGAGCCATTTTAAAGGTATTAATCTGCCATAAGTATGTTTCAGTGGGATGCAGTGGAATCTTATATGGATATAAACATAGTCTTTCTTCTTCACAGTGACCTCTCTCAGACTGAGGACATCCTGAATAGATATAAGAGATACAAGAACATCTTGTTCAAGCTGTCGCCTCCGGAGTGGCAGGAGGCCCAGGAGGCTGAGGCTTTTAAAGCTACAGTCCCATCTAACAGAGACCCTCAGGATGAGCAGGACGAGGAGCCTCAGGAGTCAGCAGATAGGCAGGGTAAGTGTTAAACCATCGACATATAAAGAAAGGACAACGTGACGGCTCCCCAAAGGTGAAGCCAAAACCTCTCCATCGTCTCCTGGTGGGTGAATGCAGTATAGGTCATATTTTATATGTATATATGTAGATGGTTAAAACCCAGAGAAGCAACAGGAAATAGAGGATAACTGCCAGGGGGAAGTTTGTTATTCCAGTACATGAGATATGAGATGATTATTGGAAGGCTGAGCTGTATTCAGTTGTTTCTGCACCTTCAGTGCTAGATGCTGCTGAATCCTCACAAGAGACAGATTTTGATGTTTGGTGTGAATTGATGCAGAGGTTCACATGTCCTGACCTTTAAGTACTGCTAGCAGTGTGATCGGAATGATAACGTGCACACAGGTTCGGAGACAGGTGTGGAGTCCAGTCCAGGTCGAGTGCTGCCTTCGACTGGAGAGTCTACGCTGTCCTCAGTCCACAGTGACACACTGTAAGGAGACACCAATGCACCACAGCCATGATGAAATCTGTTTGTCCTGGAAAATCCCATACTGCAGTGGATTTGGTGTTAGGTATTAGGCAAAAGAATCACCAAAGAAAAACATACTCTCCGACCAACATCCCTTTATTTATTTATCACATGTTCTATTATTATTCTTGTTACTGCTGTTTCATAAAGCCGTACAGAAAACCATCTGCCAAATGAGTCTCATTACATCTTCATCTCTCCTGAGCCTAAACTCTCTCTTTTGAATTTTAGGGTCAAAAATTATAAAGAGGAAACCGACAGCTCTGAATATGAGGTCAGTTTTCCTGAACCACTGCCATGTTTTATCTTGAGTGTGCTCCTGCAGTTCTCACAGAGTGCCGTTACCTTCTCTCCTCCCGCAGGACAAACTGGAGCTCTACTTCTCCGATCCCCAGCAGCTACTGGTTCTGATGACGGAGCTGACGGATCAGAACCTTTCCCTGATTCAAAACTCCACCAGGATGGATGAGACCCTGGAAGAGCTGCAGCAGACCTTTGAGACCGCCTCAAAGGAAATGTAAGCATCATATTTATCTAAAAGGCTCATTGTAACCTGCAGTCCCTGCCTGGACAGAATAATGTTAGACAACACTGAAGAATGTAAATGGATGGTAAATGGACCTGTACTTGTATAGCGCCTTTCTAGTTCTCCGACCACTCAAAGCGCTATACTAAGTGCCACATTCACCCTTTCACACACATTACTCAGTGATTCGATTTCGATCGAACAGAAACTAACTCATACAGTACACATTCACAATGCACACAACCAATGGCAGTGCATCTGTAGCAATTTGGGGTTCAAGTACTCTTGTCAAGGATACTTCGACACGTGGCAGAGGAGCGGGGATCGAACCAACAACATTCTGATTGGGGGACGACCCGCTCTGCCTCTCAGCCACAGCCTAATGTGCAGCATAAGAGGACACAACATGTACAAAAACAAGCTTACAACAATTATATGCATTATACTAAATATTGTAACTTAAAAGAGGAATGTAATAAACATGTAAAGCAGGCACAAAGAATCCCATCAATCCTTACTCCTCTCTGTCTGTAGGAAAGAGGATGAAGAGAAGCTCACATTGCAGGTAACTGACATGCAGGAGAAGATCGACAGAGAGTCGGAGAGAGCTGCCGATCTCCAAAAGAAGGTTCAGCTCCATGACTCATTAAAAACCGAGGACCAGGTAAACAAGCAGAATGGACTGTAATGATAATGATAATTTTACATCTGCACTTGGAAACAACACCCAAAAATCATCTGAAGTGGCGTCAGTAAACTGCAAACAGAATGCTAATCCTTGCTCCGTCTCCTCTTCTCCTCCTTCCCTCCTCCTCTCTCATCTCCATCACTTCCTCTCCTCACTCGCAGGATGTTTTGCTGGATGCTCTGGGCAAGAAGGTGACAGAGGTGCATCGCTGCTGCTTGGATAGCCGGTTGTCCCACCTCAGCACGTTGGAGAAGCTGTCCAGTGTCGAGTACCGCATGTCTTTGCTGCTACAGCTCATTGAGAACATCCCTGAAGAAAGCTTGGAGGCACTGAGAGAGATCAAGGACAGTGAGAGGATGAGCAGGTTTGCCTTGTTCATGCAGTATACTGTATATTACATACTTTAGACAACATGATATATTAGCAAGTAGATGCTATATTCATCCAATAGTATCGAGTAGTAGTAGTAGTCGAGTAGATGACTTTTTATGGATTTTAATGTAGAAGTGTGTTTTTTGCAGACACACATTATTGTTCCTAGCAGACTATTTATATATATATGTCTTAATGTATGTCTGGAGGGAATCTTGGTTTAGTATCAGCATGTTTGGACTCCAAATGGCTCAAAACATTCACTCAAACTTTTGAATTATTGATTTTTGTATCATTTTTAATATATGTGTAAATGTCTGTGTATCATGTATGAGTGTAATAATAGCGTGGGGGCAGTAATGTTTTGGACATTGTTAACAGAACAGTAACACACAGCACAGCAGTTTGTGGGAGTCCTGGCAGGGACAGATGTTTCAGTCTGCCTTTTCTGTCTTCAGTGCAGAAATACAATGTACAAAGTAAACTAATGGTAATGTAAGGAACTCTGAATTGTGCTGTTTCCCCAAACAGCACGTTACATGAGAACCCCTTCTTGTCCTACATTCTATATCACGTTCCAGGCTGCGCGAAGAACAGCTGAGACTGGAGAGGGAGAAACAGAGAGAACGGATGAAGAAGTGCATGCAAAGATCCCAGGGTGAATCCAAGAAAAAAGTAAGTCTTTCACTTCAAAATGGATACATTTTAGGTTATACATTATATCACACATCAACTGGATTCATGGGAAATGTAGTTGTAATTTGGAGAAACACTAATAATAAGTACCTTTGTAAAATACAGGAACCAACCTTCACAAATCAGCACAAAGAGATGTATGTTAGTTTTTAAAAAAGAAATTTGGAATTGATCAGTTTCTTTTCTGCTCTAATGTAGTCAGAGCAGTCCTTCTCAGTAATTACACAAACCTAAAACATTCTCTTTCTCCTTTAGAGGGGAAGAAAGCTCATGCCCAGATGCTTCCCTGTAGAGCAGAAGACCAAAGTCAGTGATGAGGAGGACAGCATTCCTGCTGAAGATGAACTCCAGGCCTACCTCTTCACCAATGAGGACGCAGAGTAAAAAAAAGGAATTAGCACATACTGTATAATGTTTGAAAAGAAAAAAGTAGATTATAAAGCATAATACTGCAATTTACTCTCTCTAAGGGTGTGTGAAACTTCATCTGCTTTCCAGAAAGACATTTCATTGTTTTGATTAGCTTCAAAATTGAAAGAGCTACTGGATCTGATAAGATAATACTTTATTGATCCCCCAGAGAGGAATTTAGATAGAAATAAGTACCCATTAATAGAGAAATAAATAAGTATAAGAATATAAGATAGACAGTATAACATATACTGTATTTGTGTGTGTTTATATATAAGATCATATTTAATGTTCTTAACTATTGTGTGACTTGTTTCAAATCGTGAAAATACAGGAATTAATCTAACTATTATTATAAAAGAATACATAAGTCACTTACCTTGAATGCAGTCTGTCCTGATTTGTTTAAGAGTAAATTTAGAATCCAGTTGATAATCCATGGTGATCCCTGAAAACTGGAGGAAACGAGAAGTTAAAAAGTCACTATTGTCTGTAGGAGCCAATTTCTCCTGCAGGTCCGATTGTGCTTGTTGGCATACTGAGGTGATGAGGTAAGATTTCATCAGGACTATAAAATCAGAGCTCTTCCACAGAGGAAGGAGACATCTATTCTCATAGACAGTAATATTACAAGTTTATTGGATCTTCTTAATTAGCAGCTTCCTCTTATGTTTTATTGAAATAAAAAGTAGACTTTGCTGAATATTAGAGGCTACTCCCCCTGAAATCTGAATGTATAAAACAGATGAGAGAAGAGCAGACCACCCTATGAGTTACTGTGAGTTGTTCAGCTGTAAATATACTTTCAGTTTCTGAAAAAAACAACAACAGAAGAGCTCATCAGAGCCCAGCCCTTTAGAGATTAACAAGAAACAACAGGGCCATTAGTAATTCAGTGTTTTCACACTTAGTTTAAGTCAGTCCATCCTAATAAAGAACATAACTAATAAGAATAATATAACTAATAAAATAAAACATAACCACATGTAATTTTCCCATTCTCAGTCTCAGGTCCTTTCTGTAGGGGAACAGTGCATTGATTCGTTCATTGAATGTACTACAGTGAATATGAGCAGTGATATACCCTGAGTTGCTCCAGCCCAGAGAGCTGTCTCAATACACTGAAACTGCCATGCCCGTCACTAGAAAGAGCAGAATGTCAGCTCTAATAAACAAACCACTCCTGTCCTCACCGTGTTTCTTGTAAATCAGGTGCTTTCCCAGCAGGACGTTTTCCACTGACTATATAAGCGACTGAACACTGTACAACTGAACAACTGCGCAGAGAAAGGATTTAAAGTTTTTTGCTGAGTAGCGGCATTGCAAGTACCCCATTAGGTAAGTCATATATTTACAGTCATACAATGCACTGAATTGTGTATTACAATGTTTTTGTGGTACAGTACTTTGAGCAAAGATGAAGATGATGATGATGATGATGATGATAAAATTACCTAGATAAACAGATTTTTGGTCCTAACTCAGTCTGATGCAGCAATTATGACAACATTTCACACAAATATTTAATGGGAGAGAGCTATGAAAGGATTTTTCCAAAAGGTAAAAGGTCAACTTCACTGTGACATTATAATGTCCTGAAAAACAAAACAAACCATTTGGTCCATTTTTCAACACCATAGCTCAGTTGGTTGGACACTGAATTGGTAACACCTTTGACTCACTAGTCAAAATAGGTTTTTGGCCGATTCCAGATTTACTGCACATGACTCACAACACAATTCATCTTTCCATGTCATTCATTTTGTGTTTTACTTCCTACCTTATTTAAGTATACAGCCATTTTGTACATATTCTCTCTCTCCATGTCTCTATTTTTATCTTTTATCTCTATTTTTCTACGCTTGATTGTGATTCTTATGCACCAAAGCAAATGCCTTGTATGTGAAAATTTGCCAATGAACTTAATTCTGATTCAGAACATTATCAGAATAACAGAACTGTAAACAATGTACTGCTGCGTGCCTGGCTATTGGCGATCCTGTGAGTGAGTTTCACCTACAGCTCATAGAAAGGCATCGCATCTAAAATGTCAGGAGAAAAAAAAAGTAGCACATTGTGTTTTTTTGCATTAATAAGAATCTATCTGTAAGGAACCAAGCAGTGAGACAATGAGGAAACAGGAATGGTGCTGGAAAAAGTGGGTTTTTATTTATCCAAAAAATGCAGAGTATAAACCAAGAATTTAATAACATGGCCTATAAAATAGATCAACAAAATATAACTGTGATCAAATAGCAACCAAACAAAGTGTCAACTGAACAAAATGATCTAACACAGTGAGACAAGAGAGAGAGCCTGTAGTGAGGACTGCCAGCCACTAAGGCTGCCTACTCGTACCGTTCAGAGGTATTGCCTCTTGGTGTGGGGCTCTCCAAGCAGATCACTACTTAGCCACAGCCCGGGACATCCTGCAGTTCTTGCAGAGGGTTCCAGCTGGAGGCAGGGAAGTCTGCCGTTACTCTTTGAGGTATGTTGGCAGTAATCAAAGCAGTTCATTTCAGCAAGACACACTGAATGACTGAGAAAGATAGCCGCTCCTTGATGTCAAGGTTTCTCAGAGGGGGCCAGAGGCTTACGGTTCTCAGGACTAGACCTCCGTGGGACTTGGATATAGTCCATGGTGTACTTCAGCATTCCCAGTTTAAACCCCCTGGGATTGCCGATTTGATATGGTTTCTCTTGCATTTCTGCTGGTTATAACTTCTGCCAGGAGGATAGGCGAGCCCCAAGCACAGGGAGTTCCCAATGATCGCTGCAGGTTCTTGTCGGATGGGTCAAGTGTCGTCCTAAAAATATTTTTTGAAATTCTACCTACCTACTCACAGTGCTCTCTGTGTGCTAGCTGCTGGGTGCAAATCAAAGTTACACTTTTAACACTCAAAATGAATTCCTGCAATTTGACTATTTCCTTGTCAAATGTAGCTACTGTATATTGTTACCTTCAGGATATATCAAGTAAATGTACATAGAGCAGCAACATACACACACAAGTGCCCTCCGGTTTAATGTACACACAGTTTCTCTCAACTGTCCCACTTTATTTCAACATTAGTAAAAACATCCCCAGCCTGAGGAACAAAGCTCAGCAGGCTGAACAACATTGTGACATTATTGATCCATTGAGCGTGAACATTCGTTGCTAGCTCATTATTAGCCATCATCACTCTGTAGCAGTCTGTATTTAAATACACACACGTTACCATCAAAAATAAACTTTATCCACTCAGCTCTAATGTCCTCTGAGGTTGAGGGCCATTGTAAATTTTTTGTGATTATTTCACATTGTATCAGTTAGTTTGGAGCTGAATAAGTTTTGGGTAAGTTTAGCCCTGTGGTCTACAGGATGACAGTTGAAGTTATCAGTTTTCAGAGAGGGGGAGAGAGGGGAGAATGACATTCAGCAAAGGGCCACAAGTTGGAATTGAGCCCATGGTTGCTGCAGTGGGTGAGCCACCAGGGCATTTTGTACTTTTACAATGTTTTGTTGTTGTGTGCATGTACACAATATAGCAAACTAAATAAGGGAAATTAATGAAGGCACAAGTTACGGAAGAATGAAAAATGTCTTAAAGACAAAACAAAACAAACATTTGATTTGTTCAGCCTTGCTCTGTAAGATGTGCACTGATACACAAACACACACACACACACACATATATAGTAAATGACAGTGGATACACACTGCATGGGGACAAGGGACAACATTGTTTAGCCTGTATGTAACTCTGACCCATGGGTGCCATTTACCACGATCATATCTGATAGAGATAAAATCCAGATTCAGGTCGTTTTCCATAACCTGTTTTAAAAACATTTCCTGGCAGAAGCTTTGTGTACAGACACATCCTTTCTGTTTTGCACATACTCCACCGACTGTCACTGTCCTGCCCTGTGGCTACAACCCTGAAAGTGTTTTTATTAGTAGATTGATACTTAGAGGTGGTAGAGAGGTAGGTTTGCAGTTAGAGCTCCTAGTCTCAGGAATCACCTGCACGAGGAGATCAGGGCGGTTGAATGTCTGATTTGTTAAATTACTTTGAAACCCATTTTTAAAAGGGCTTTTTGTTGATTTATGTTTTATGACCTGTTAGTTCATTTTGCTCTCTTTGTTGTCTTTATTTGTAACACATTTGTAACTCTGTTTTGAAATGTGCTATACTGTATGTGCTTATGATAAATAACGTTTTTATTCTCATTATCATAGTAGGATGATTATTAATTTATTTAGAAACTAAGAGGTAGAGAAAGAGTTTTTATGATATGAGAATCTCAAAAAGCTGTAAGGCAGAGGACACTGCTAAAGTGTCTTTCACTTAGTGACTTTAACCAGGCTTCTTGTAAGATCAGCATGTTTCTTGTAAGTCACCTGCACAGGACATTCTCATCGGTCAGTCTCTAAAAGGCTGGGCTCTGATGAGCTCTTCTGTTGTTTTTACAGACATTAAGAAACTGAACAACTCACAGTAACTCATAGGGTGGTCTGCTCTTCTCTCATCTGTTTCTACATTCAGACTTCAGGGTGAGTAGCCTCTAATATTCAGCAAAGTCAACTTTTTATTTCAATGAAACATAAGAGGAAGCTGCTTCTCTCTGTCTAAAACAGGCTCATTAAGATATAGAAGATCCACTAAAGTTGTAAAATTACTGTCTATGAGAATAGTTGTCTCCTTCCTCTGTGGAAGAGCTCTGATTTTACAGTGCTGATGAAATGATGTACACACAGTGGCGTGCACAGACTTTCTGAAGGGCAGGGGCTTCCCCCAGAACATTTTCAATTA